ATCCTGCACTGATATAAAATATATGTTCCATAAACTACTTGTACATGAATGTACTATGGTGTAGCGTAATTTATGCAGTATGTTCAGTCCTGTACTTAGTTACCAGTGCATCTACAGATAAATTTTTTTGTTTGTTCACTGATTTCAATCTGTATATTGAAATATCTAAAACACCTTATATTTGTGATTTAGCCACAAGCCCACAACCCACAGGCATTTTATGGCCTTGAAAGATTTGCAAGATCCAGGTTTGTTGGCTTGGACCATTCAATTAGAATTTAGAAGAGGGCAGATACTACAATGACTTATCACAAGAGCCAAAGCACGCCCGACCTTCTGCCATACGAGTCCGAGATGACGCCCCCGAGGAAGCCCCCGATGATCATCCCGGCGAAGACGACGCTGGTGATGAGCCCCTCCTGCTGGCCCGAGATTCCCCACTCGTCCTTCACGGACGGGCCGACGAAGGACAGCATCATGATCTCCATGGCCTCCGCGGTCCAGCCCACGCCGGCGTAGGCCAGCACCAGCGCCTGGAACCTCCCGAAGCCCACCTGGGAGAGCGCGTCGTCCGTCGTGTAGTAGCCGCACTCCCCGCCCCTAGCCTCACTGCCTCCCGCCATTCTCTTCCAAAGAAACCGGCAGGGCAACGCGCGGCCGTGGAACGGCGGGAGACTTCGGCGCAAGCGCCGCCGGGCCGGTAGGAGAAGAGGCGCGACTCGGCGGAGGGCGGGGGGAGGTGGGTGTGGAGCCGTAGGACAAGGGCGCCCGGTGCTGTCAGTCTATCACTGTCGATGGGAAGGGCCTTGACTCCGCCCAGTGCTGTCAGCCTATCACTGTGTCTGGCGATGGGAAGGGCGTTGACTCCTTGATGAACGGCTGCCAAGAAAATGGAAAACGCTCGGGCCGGTCGCGTGCGGAGCGTGCGATCCTTTTGTGATCACCGTTCCACTTTGGGCCATGTCACCTCCCATTGGCCCACAAACTGTTCTATTTCTTTATCTCTTTCTTCCTTATCCCTCGAACTGCTTTCTCCTCCATTCCTTTTTCTCTGGTTCGTCTTCCTCTGACTCTCTCTCTCTTCCCAGCGGCTCCGTGTTGCAACTATGACCGGCCGCCATATCCCAGCGAACCTTCTCCCTAATAACACTTGATACCACCTGATAGAGGCGGGATGTCTTGACCTTTCGATGAGATGATAACAATCGATTTGGTGGAGTCAACTTCGACGATCCGACTATAAACGTGCACGACGTTGCGCCTTAGCAATCACTAAACCAATCTCCTAAGATTATTGATCACGCCGGAGCACAATCAACCTGACCACGAAGGTCTATTCCTGCAAGCAATCGAAGAACAAGCAAGTATATGATAAAAGCAATCTGAATATTGCGAGTATATATGAAGTATTGATAAATGTGAGGATCCGTAAGCGGACTTGGTCTGATCATTCGACACAAACGAAGTACACGGAGTTGCAATGGCTAACTTTTAACTAAACAAATCCCAATGAAAAAAACTACTAGATGGATCTACTTATATAGGAGCAAGGGGTGCCGGCCAAGGAGGTGGGAGGACGTCCCAAGGCAGGCTAAAACTAACCCTAGGTCGTACAAGGCCAATGGGCCCAATTGGAGGTGATGTAACACATTTAGACTTGTAGTTTGACTCAGATTCTGCTGCAGCATCAGATTGTTTCGTCCATAACTCAGCGCTCCGGACGAATTTGAAGGTGAATCCAATTGGGTTGGAAAGTGCACGAAATCTATTTTCCAACAAAAAATAATCACCCAATTCGAAGTCCGGATGAAAAAGTTATTGACGTTTTGAGTCAGGTATGTCTGTGCAGTCCGAATGTGAGTAGAACGTAAGAGACTTGGACTCTATTCTTCTCTTGGGCCAAAAGTGACGTGAGAGAACTTTTTGGACAGCAGTAAACATCTCTTTCTCCTTTATTTTCATATATGGACTGTACAAATATCACATACACCTGCAATTAGACATGGCACAAAAGTTTGTGAAGTATTTTTGTCCTGGATGATATAAATAAATTATTGCATAGTTTGCATTAGAAATCACCTAAAAAATATACATGTATGCGATATGTTTGGTCATATCCAAGGTATTCATGGCCTCATCACTTCCTTTACGGTCTCCCTCACCTCCGGCCTACAACGGCTATGTAGGAATGCTCGGAACGGCGGTGGCGGCACGCTGCGGCCACATGCTTCAACTACGGCCATCGTATTCCGGCGAAGATGCAAGGTGCCGACATGCAACATGGAAATGCTACAACCGGCTACATCAGAGCTACAACAGGCACTTGGTAGAGCTGCCACCGGTGGCGCCAATTGCTACAACCGACGCCATTTTTTCTGGAACCAAAGAAAGCAGGTGTTGAAACCGTTGCGCAGCGGAGCTACAACCATGAACGCAAAATGCTACAACCGGTTCTGTTTTTTGCTGGAACCAGAGAATTTAGGGGCTTCAACTTGTGTGCGAAGGAGCTGCAACCATCACTTTAAACTGCTACGACCGACGACTGAGAAAGCTACATCCGACTTATGAAAAAGCTTCAACGGAGACGGGGTAGCTGGAGGTTGGCCTCCGTTCAGGCGCAAAAAGCTGCAACCTACAGTGAGAAAGCTACAACCGGCTTTTCAAAAAGCTTCAACTGAAGAACGGCGAGCGGCGACGATGGAAACTGCATGGCGGTGCATGGGGTGCTGCGACGGGCGTGTGGAGCGCCGACGGTGGTCGGTGGCGTTGTTGGAACCCCACCCCCGGCGGTGGTGTGGAGGCACGTCGAGCTACAAAGGCCTACAACGCTGTGGACGGATTTGTTTTTGGCCAGGACCGGCGGAGCTGCATCCAGCCTATGTGTCTGTGCGGCAAGCGACGGCGAATGGAGGCAAGCAGAGGTGTAGTGTTGCTTTGAGCTCGCGAAGATGGAGCTACGAGGAGTCGTCTCCGCGCTAGCGGCGTGTAGCTTGTTTTTTCTATCACGGGTGGCCACACATTTGCAGGAGAAACAGGAAAGAACGACGATTGAGCCAGCATCCTGTCCGTTGATTGGGATCTGATCTGATGCTCGCGCTATGACCGGCAGGATTTGGGCCGGTCGACCGGCACAGAGCACTGCCCCAAGAAAATTGCCATGGAAACGGACACTCCGGATGAACAGTAAACTCCGAAAAAATAGAAAAAAACATTCAAAAAAATTTGAATTCCTTTTGTGATAAATATTGATGAATATCTGACAAGCGGCACAATTTTTGTGATAAATTTTGATGAATATCTCACATGTGGCACAATAGCATGATGAAATACATTCATGGAGGTCTGAGCAAAAGCAATAAACTATTTTGAAAGCAGTTTGCTGTTGGGGAACGTAGTAATTTCAAAAAAATTCCTACGCACACGCAAGATCATGGTGATGCATAGCAATGAGAGGGGAGAGTATTGTCCATGTACCCTCGTAGACTGAAAGCGGAAGCGTTAGAACAACGTGGTTGATGTAGTCGTACGTCTTCACGGCCCGACTGATCAAGCACCGAAACTACGACACCTTCGAGTTCTAGCACACGTTCAGCTCGATGATGATCCCCGTACTTCGATCCAGCAGAATGTCGGGGAAGAGTTCCGTCAGCACGACGGCGTGATGACGATCTTGATGTTCTACCGTTGCAGGGCTTCGCCTAAGCACCGCTACAATATTATCAAGGAGAACTATGGTGGAGGGGGGGGGGCACCGCACACGACTAAGAGATCAAGAGATCAATTGTTGTCTATGGGATTCCCCCTCCCCCGTATATAAAGGAGTGGAGGAGGGGGCCGGCCAAGGGGGGTGGCGCGCCCTAGGGGGGGAGTCCAACCCCCACTAGGAGTAGGACTCCCCCCTTTCCTATTAGGAGAGGGAGAGGGAAGGAAGAGGAGGGAGGGATTCGGATTGGGCATGGGGGGGCCTCCTTCGCTCCTTTCCCCTCCTTTCCACTAAGGCCCAATAAGGCCCATATACCTCCCGGGGGGTTCCGATAACCTCCCGGAGCTCCGATATTGTCCCAATCTCACCCGAAATCTTTCTGGTGTCCAAATATAGTCGTCCAATATATCGATCTTTATGTCTCGATCATTTCGAGACTCCTCGTCATGTCCGTGATCACATCCGGGACTCCAAACAACCTTCGGTACATCAAAACTCATAAACTCATAATAAAATTGTCAACGAAACCTTAAGCGTGCGGACCCTATGGGTTCGAGAACTATGTAGACATGACCGAGACATGTTTCCGGTCAATAACCAATAGTGGAACCTGGATGCTCATATTGGCTCCTACATATTCTACGAAGATCTTTATCGGTCAAACCGCATAACAACATACGTTGTTCCCTTTGTCATCGGTATGTTACTTGCCCGAGATTCGATCATCGGTATCCCAATACCTAGTTCAATCTCGTTACCGGCAAGTCTATTTACTCGTTACGTAATGCATCATTCCGTAACTAACTCATTAGCTACATTTCTTGCAAGGCTTATAGTGATGTGCATTACCGAGAGGGCCCATAGATACCTCTCCGACAATGGGAGTGACAAAACCTAATCTCGAAATACGCCAACTCAACATGTACCTTTGGAGACACCTGTAGAGCTCCTTTATAATCACCCAGTTACGTTGTGACGTTTGGTAGCACACAAAGTGTTCCTCCGGTAAACGGGAGTTGCATAATCTCATAGTTGTAGGAACATGTATAAGTCATGAAGAAAGCAATAGCAACATACTAAACGATCAAGTGCTAAGCTAACGAAATGGGTCATGTCAATCACATCATTCTCCTAATGATGTGATCCCGTTAATCAAATGACAACTCATGTCTATGGTTAGGAAACATAACCATCTTTGATTAATGAGCTAGTCAAGTAGAGGCATACTAGTGACTTTAAGTTTGTCTATGTATTCACACATGTATCATGTTTCCGGTTAATATAATTCTAGCATGAATAATAAACATTTATCATGATATGAGGAAATAAATAATAACTTTATTATTGCCTCTAGGGCATATTTCCTTCAGTCTCCCACTTGCACTAGAGTCAATAATCTAGCTTACACAGTAATGATTCTAACACCCATGGAGTCTTGGTGCTGATCATGTTTTGCTCGTGGAAGAGGCTTAATCAACGGGTTTGCAACATTCAGATCCGTATGTATCTTGCAAATCTCTATGTCTCCCACCTGGACTTGGTCCCGGATGGAATTGAAGCGTCTCTTGATGTGCTTGGTCCTCTTGTGAAATCTGGATTTCTTTGCCAAGGCAATTGCACCAGTATTGTCACAGAATATCTTCATTGGTCCCGATGCACTAGGTATGACACCTAGATCGGAAATGAACTCCTTCATCCAGACTCCTTCATTTGCTGCTTCCGAAGCAGCTATGTACTCCGCTTCGCATGTAGATCCCGCCACGACGCTTTGTTAAGAACTGCACCAACTGACAGCTCCAACGTTCAATATAAACACGTATCTGGTTTGCGATTTAGAATCGTCCGGATCAGTCTCAAAGCTTGCATCGACGTAACCATTTACGACTAGCTCTTTGTCACCTCCATAAACGAGAAACAAAT